CGACGATGTCGCTTCTTCGCTTGTGTTCCGAATATGTATTTGGGTTGTTAAAATACCTACACAACGAAAGATGATTGTGACCGGCATGCGTCACATTTGAAACGCATACGCGATCGGCACCTTGATGGGCTGTACAATTATCGGTTCCCGACCAGGTTACTCGTAAACACACACTTCGTAGATGGGCATACATTCTCGTGATTCTTTTTCGGTGCCATATTATGCGAGTATGCTATTGAATATTGATCTAAGCTCTTCGTCAGAGTCGAGGCGACTCTAAATAACAGCTGATACAAAGCTCTGCCACCATCACAAGTTATCACAAGACCCCTGCCTTTAGCCCTCTTCACCGTTGTCTTCTTCTTCTTCTTCCCGCCGGCGATAATACCTCCGATCAATGCCAAAACAGCGCTCGTGTCTTTAATCTTGCCTACCGATACTTTGTACAGTTAACCCGGAGTGATAAGATTGTACACACAGGTGTAAGCACACTAAGTGTCAATCGTTTGCAACAGGAGATAACCGCAGAAGCACATCAATCACTAGTAGTTGCCGCTGGTTTAATTCCATGTGAGAAAGTGGCCGAATGTTTACATAGAAATGATTTTTTAGATGGACACGTATGTATAGACACCGACACACCAGTTACAGCTTCAACACAGTTAGTAGAGGTTGCACACCCAGATATGGGGATACGCCAAAGATGGTGATATGCATATGGGTGATGTGCGCTACGCATCACACACCGCATATGTATCAGGTATAAAGTGACATATATACGCCGACGCAAGTGAGAGATGACATATCAGATCATTAGCAATTACAAGCTCTCTTTGTTGGTCTAATGGTGTTAAAGATATGGAGGTGCTGCTGAGCCCTTATTGTGCACTAACTAAAGTGCGACTGCAAGAGCCATTAAGCGTCTTCATAAACACCGCCGGCACTAAGATTGATCTCATCAAGCGGCTCATCAGATAGGGTGCCAATGAACTTTATTCGGCCGCCGATATTCCATAGTTTACACGCTGAGATTTTCCACGTTGCAGTAACGAGGAAAGTACAAACGCAAATAATTTATAATTTTGTAATATTGAGCCGCATAGTTCACTGAGCAACTTCTAGCTATTACGACCAACAGAAAATCAACACAGAACTATAGCAGCTGAAAGTGGATGGAATATCTGTCCAACACCAACTATCTACGCGATCCTTCATTGCGACTTGGCTCTAGGAATATGTCTGTTATCGAGCTCGGTAAGAAGCGCAACACAGAGACCCAGACTATGTATGTACACGCTTGCAATCCGCACATGCTCAGGGAAAGACCCTTCGGTACAGCGCATGACGCATACTGTTACAAGTTTGGCGATGATGCAGGACTATAACTACAGAGTACAACTTCCCGATGATAAAACTAACACTAGAACCAACAACACACACACAAACAGGGAGAGTATCAGCTCTAGTGCAGGAGGCAATGTAGTACCAGGCAGAAACTTTGTAGACTACAAAACTATAGGCAAAAAAGCGAGCTCTTAGAACTAGTGCACAGTTGTATATGTGTATGGAGCCAGCTAAACGTATAGGTACAAGCGATCTGCGCGATCTGTTATTCGAAGCACAGTACACATCAATGGATGACGATAGTCATACAGCACTAGCAAGTCAACATGGTTGGATATCTGGAGTCGCCACTTCTGCCAGACTCTACAATTCACTATGGACTAAGAGTTGTAAAGGTCGACCTCTTCCTATACGATACCAAAACGTTTACGTTACATAAGAAAATACGTTCAAGCGTTAAATGCAAAATGTTAAACAAGTTTAGCTTCAGGTCTCGGTTGTGAGCTAAAAGATTAGGGGAATTTAGACTGAGACTATTGTCTTTATGCTCCGATCAATTCACTCACTACGTCGGTCTAGATTTGTTTACATTTTAGTTAGTAAAATCAGAGACTATTCCATTTGACGCATATATTTCACGCCTCGAGACAATCCTCCAATCGAATCAACTAATGAAATATTTCGAAGCCTAACTCAAGAAAATCAAAAATAAAATCAAAACACTAAACTGGTGCAGTATACATTTGCACCTAAACACCATCACTTATTATCTAGCTCCCTATTTCATTTAAGGCATAAACGGACACATCTAGTTTGCTCGCTAGGAGGAGTCAGGATCATGTTGTCCTAAATATTGACAATTGTGATCTTGTCCTATTTCTCAGTTGATTGTTTATCTTGCTCTGAGACTATATTGAATTATACTGAGAAACTATACTTAATTCAAATTCTGTCTGATATCCTCTGTTTTGGTACTCCCAGTATGTGGAGTTATCAGAAGTGTCACATTCAGGTTTCAGATTTTGTCTAAAGACCCAATTTAGATATAATTCCAACTTTAGTGGAAAACAAATAAGCATTGAAAAACCACTAATTGCCCACAGTAGAGTCCCTAGCTCTGATGTGGACTATCACATGTTCAGAATTTCAAACATCGAAGTTCTAAACTATACTTAAATCAAATTCTGTCTGATATCCTCTGCTTTGGTACACCCAATATATGGAGTTATCAGAAGTGTCACATTCAGGTTTCAGATTGTGTCTAAAGACCCATTTTAAATATAATTTCAACTTTAGTGGAAAACAAACAAGTATTGCAAAACCACACATTGTCCACAGTAGAGTCCCTAGCTCTAATCTGCACTATCACATGTTCAGAATTTCAAATATAGAAGTTCTTGTTCCTGCTAAATCCGTTTAAACATAGTCCAGGATTAAAGGTATAAAGGTTTAAACGTTGATACGGTTATAATATACGTTAACATATGCTTCTACTAGAAGGAACTCACTAGTTTTATATCATTTCGCAACTTTTGTCTCAAGACACTGGAGATGAAGGATGTCTTCAATAGTGGCACATCGGACAACGCCTCCAATGCAATATCTCCAATGAAGAAAACTACAGATTACGTACCTGGATGTATGGCACATAAACTAAACCTAGTTCTGAAGCCTAATATACACCTATAAATGGTGAGCTTATCACGCCGATTCTTGCAGACGCCCCTTGAAACACATGTTACCTTCCCTAGAAGATGGCACCCATTCATGCCAAGCCTAAACTCTCCAGATACTTGGGGTTCCCACTCTTCCACATAATACCGGGGACCAACCTCGCCAGACATATGCAATCCCTGGTTGCAGCATTGTCCCTGGGTATTGCCTCTTTCCGCGCTTATGACTTCTATGGCTTCAGCTGGCGACACCCCCGCAGCCGGCTGGTGCTGCTCAAAACATTCATCCTATCTACGGCTACATATGGCCTGAGCATTATTGCCTGGGATCCGCCTATAGGGAAGGATGCGCTGGACCCCCTGTTCGAGCGCTAAAACTCGGCACTCATCCAAGCAGCAGCCATCATCACGGGCATTCAATATCCTCGGTTTCCCAAACATTAAACAAACTTACTCCACTTTTGTGGCCTGTTCCCCACGCGACCATTTGCGGATTACCTCGGAGGTTGCCTGTGACAACAACTCGACTCAATGGCCAGCACAAATCCACTCACCCCTCTGACGCAACCCACCTGGGCCCACGACAAACCATCACTGTGCTTCCCGTACAATACCAATGCCCACCTGGAAACTGTATACAAAACCACAAGCAGGCGTACACCCGACCATGTAGCCCTCCCCCGACACTGTGACAACATTAAGATGAACTCAACGAAACGCTGGTCCAACACGGAGATCGCGGCAATGGCCCGGCGCTAATACTACTACCAACTGGTCATGGTCAAACCGCCAACCTCAAATCCGGACAAAGCCAGACACGACTATTCAACCGCTGCTTCGAGCCTACACCAATCCGGCTCTGAATACGTACATGTTTGCATTGCTCGACTACCGCACCAACGGCTGTCTCTGCCCTGTCTGTCCTGTCTGCCCCAGTGGCCACAAATTTATCACCAGCCACTTTGCCTGCATTCAACAACTGATCCGACGCATCCTGGTACCCGAAGCTGCCTCCCACTGGTCTCGACCTCCTCCAGAAATTACAGGAGCGCCACGACTTCCACGGTATCTGGCCCTCCACGAACACCTTGGATCTTTTCTCCAGTATGCAGAACAACCCCTGTACCCACACCCGTCTCTGATACATCAACAGATGTTCCTCATACCCCGGCTAATCACGCTATTGGAATAAGAATTCCAACTTCGGTCCAAACCAAGTCATTGCGCCTGTTGGTTCCGCCTATGATACTTTCGATCAAAGCCAATCAGCACACACTGAGTGCAACCAACCGAATTACGACGTATGACCTGGTCCTACTCGGCGTTTCGTACTCTGCACTAACCCATTCCACGGCACTACACGGTGCAAACCCGATTCGTACCACAAAGGTGGGTACGCTACTTTGTAGGTCAGCAAGCGAATACGTGGCACACTCGATGATGTCAGGATTTTGGTAGCACCGGCCTTGAGAATTGACCCAGCGTATATCCTCACGCATCATTATGGACAAAGTACATTAGATGGAGATTTAGGACCGGATCAGAGGACCGAATCAACAAGAGGAATTTAGGACCGGACCAAGAGGACCGGACCTGAGAGGATTTAATTGAGGACCGGACCAGAGGACCGGACCGAATAGAAGAATATATAATTTAGTGATAGATAAAGATGACTCATCGGACGTCATTAATATTTAGTAACTAGGAGACAATAATCTTAGATACGGAGATATTCACAATCTGCCGTTGTTAGAGAAAATCTCGTCCCACATAGGAACGTGATTAACAAATACAGCAGACGCGCCGTTCACAGCGGCACATCTGACTGAGTTCACCTATTTCAGACTTAACACTCTTTACTAAGCGCTACTCGGTTTTGACTACATTTTTTAGTGACCGAACTACTGTACTTATTATACTGCGTTCTTTAAAGGCTAAATCAACTAAGAAGCAACTTAGTTTAAATTTCTTTTTTTTAGCACAATGACGGGACCCAATACTACACAGTTACCCAAGGTGGGTAAGCAAGCTTGTGACCGGCTGCTGAAACGGTTGCTTGCAGCTCTTCACCGTTCGCCCTTAATATGCGCTAAGGTAGAGACAGCAGTTGCTAAGAAACCCGCGCTCGAAGACGAAAAGAAGTAGAAAAACACGCTTCACTGACCCGTTTGATCTCGGAAGCCCAACACTCGATTTCTCTCTTGGGGGAAGCTTCGATAAGCGCCGGAGTGGATTTCTGATCAAGAGGGACACTTGACCACGATGAGACATGTGCAGGAGGCCACGGAAGTTATTAAACTCATTTGTGAGTAACTTAGCCAACTTCGTGAACTTTCGATTGCGGATATTGATACGTATACGCCTCAGGACTCGGTCCAGACAACATCAGATGCCATTTTTTTTGCCGGATGCTATTTTTTTTTGCCCCAGGACTCGGTCCAGGCGCAGAAATCGGTCCAGACAATATCGGATGCTGATTTTTCGCCTAAGATCTCGGGCCAGACACCATCGGATGCTGTTTCTTCTGAGCCTCAGGTCGCACCGACATGGATAACTCCAACTGGCCAGCTACCTAACAACGTAGTTGACAATATGAAGCAAATCAGCCCGGTGAAACGTAAAACGCACGAAGCCTGTACCTCATGTGATTTTTTACAATAATATCCACATTACTCGTAGAGAGCGGATGTTGAAGAACGCTCAAAATCGAGCACAAACAATTCCGACCCCTGAAGAGATAACGGCTGACTTTTGTGATTCGAATCGAAATCAGGAATCGACAACTATGGTGAAATCGCTTGGTAGATTTTTATTTTTGGAACCAGCGGATTTTCACTTGGACATGGACACTCCGTGGAATCTATCGTCGCGGCAACAGATGAACCAGGGTCAAGTGGCAGCAAACTTATTTCGTGATAAGTTGCAACGTCATCGTCGCCCACGATCGCCAGAAGAGTTACAGGAGAACTGTCAGGATACTGCGAATGTACCTATTGATACGATTTCATATCGCAAATACTTTCCCGTTCATCACGACCGCTACTTAGAAGACCCACAGAAGGTGAAACGCTAGAAACGTTCCGAACCTGCGGAGCCTAGCGACATCAGCCAAGATGAAGATGCAAGTTTTTCAACTGACTCATGGAATGATGCAGGGTTTAATTCGAGCTTCGAATGAGACTCTGAAAACGTACTCAGCAACGGTCGACAAACGAATACCGAACGAATGGCCGCCTCATCTACAGGGCTACTATAATTTGGATAACCCGCAGAAGATAAAGTTGCATCTTAGACTGGCATAAGAATGCACAATTCCATAAGCTAGAACCGGTTCATATGCAAATGGGTTTAAACCGAGCTCTACAGCAAGAAGGGGCTTCCAAGGCGCTATTGGATTTTATTGTAGAGAATGAACAAAAATTGCAGTCGATGACTTTTGAAGATGGCACTGCTTTTATTGTACGCACGCAAGAGCAAGACCTGGAGGATAATGCATACCGGCAGGTGTTAGCGTGCATGAAGCTGAAGCCATCGGTCCCGCTTGGTACTCAGATTCATGATTTTGAACGCAAGGTTGAATTCATGGAAATGTGACAGTATGAGAACCCACTACAGGTATACCGCAACCATGGTGTACTTGATCTGGTACGTCAAGCTGCAGGTGGGCATACTATCGTGTTACTCTTCGAATGCATCCACATTGACGGGACTACTCATCTGAGAAAATGCGTGATGTATTCCGTGTGAACATTGACAACCCAGAAGAAAATCGTCAGGACAAGCCCTCGCGACCACAACGGATTCCGGGGAACTCGCGATCACATTCGTATTTACGTACGGATGCGAATACACGCGCTAACCCGCATGCATCACCTACATCGAATCCTCGGATTCGCTGTCGCTCGTGTGAGCAGAACGTTCCGCCGGGACCAGGACATACAAGTCGATGTCCTAACCTACAACGACTACTGGTCCAGACCAACACAGGTAGCCATGCACAACATGGTTGGGCTACAGTTCAACGTACATCGGCCATGAACACATCGACACACGGGACACACGGTTCGGGTACTAACTTCCGACCTCGTGTTGACTTAGTGGACGGTGATATCGTGCCTGATCAACCGCCAAATGGGACGGGGGAGACTGAAGTGATGCATATTCATGACTTGGTCGACGAGTCGTATGTACAGAGTGACGATGAGTTGATGGAAGAAAAGCAGACACCCGAAGGTTGGGAAGTTGGAACAGATTCGGACTGAAAGACTGGAGTGCCTGATGTGAACATGTGCATGTCCTTTGGTCGTACGGCAACATGAATATTTGCAGTAAAAGATAAATTGTTTCCTACTGACAACCGTGTATATGTTACTTTACAGGTGAACGGACATGACATGCGCACCCTTATCGACACGGGAGCCAATCGTTCAGTCATCACTCAGTCATCACTCAGGCATCCGCAGCTAAGGCACAGCTATCTATTACACACCGGCTAAGGATAGTTACATATATTTGGTGGATAAAGCCTTCCGGATTCTATGGTTGGGTAAAACACAAGCAACAAAGGTTAAGTACGGGTCAGCTACTAATGAGGGTTGCACGTTTGAACATATAAATCTACCGGATAACATTGATATAATACTGGGTATGGATATTATGGGAGAGCTGGGATTAGGTTTAACCGGCTTAGTATCTTCATTCTCGGAGATTAATCGCAATGTTATGGATGAACTACTGGAACCGATCAATCTTCGAATAGCCCCAGACATGTCCGAGCCAGATGACATACGGCAACGTTTACGCCAATATCTGGATGCCAATGATACAGTGCTGGATGCGGCTCGCTGTACACTACCAGGTAGTGAAGTGTCCCTCCCTATGCCTCGAGATAAACTGCTGGGCTTACGTCGGCAGACATGAAACCTAGTATCTGACAAGTACAACCCACATGTAACGAAGCAAGTGCACAAATGGGAAAACGAATTGATCACCAATCGTCGAACATCTGTGTCGATTGTTAACCTCTCATTGTTGGTGGTACCATCCTTCACACCGTCGGGAGAACTTATCAAAGTGCGGGTATGCTTGGACCTCCGGCAGATTAACGCTCTTATTCCGGGCGATCAATTTACGCTTCTGAAGGTTAACGAGATCATCAGCAACTTGAAGGGCAAGCGCTAATATACCACGTTAGATTAACCGGCCGCATACCATCGTTTACCGGTGCACGTAGATTGGCAGCATATGTTTTCGTTGACATAGAATAGTCAGCAATACCTATTTACGTCGGCTCCCTTTGGGTTGACAACACTCACGTCACAATTTCAACGGACAATCAGTAATTTGATGGCGGGACTGTATATGCAGTGCTACGTCGATGATCTGCTTCTGAAGGTTAACGAGATCATCAGCAACTTGAAGGGCAAGCGCTAATATACCACGTTAGATTAACCGGCCGCATACCATCGTTTACCGGTGCACGTAGATTGGCAGCATATGTTTTCGTTGACATAGAATAGTCAGCAATACCTATTTACGTCGGCTCCCTTTGGGTTGACAACACTCACGTCACAATTTCAACGGACAATCAGTAATTTGATGGCGGGACTGTATATGCAGTGCTACGTCGATGATCTGATAATTGCGTCGGACGACTACGAGGAACACATCGCTACGGTTCAAGAGGTCATTCGACGCCTGACAGATAACTATTTCAAACTTAATCAGAAGAAATGTTACTTTACTGTGCGAGAGGTGATGGCCCTGGGAAGAAAGATATTTGCTAAAGACATTGACGTGGATCATGAGAAACAGCAACGATTAATTGACTGGCCAATTCCACGGTGTCAAAGGGATATTGCGTCTGCGTTAGGATTGGCAAACTTCCTACACGAGCATTTACCTAAGTTTGCACATAAGGTGGCTCCACTACGAATGTTTTCTAAGCTTAAGCCAAAGGAGCCCATTGGGGATCGTTGGAAACCAGAACATCAATTGGCATGGGATCAGATGAAGGAGGCTATCGTGTCGACAGTCCGGTTGAACTTTCCTGTTGATGGTATACCACTAAGCGATTATGGTATTGGTGGAGCATTGTTTCAACTGATTGACGGACGCAAACATTACCTGATGTTCTTCTCAAAGACTCTCAACAAGGCACAACAGACATATGCAACCCCGATGAAAGAGATATTAGCACTTACCTACGCTCTGGTTCACTTTCATGACCATCTCATTGGGCAGCGGTTCACTGTGCACACAGATCATAAGTCTCTCATATACATGGACACTCAGCTGAAATTGAATGGTATGTTACAGCAGGGGCACCACATTATTACACAGTTCAATTCTACCAATACTCGTGTACATGGAGAACTGAACATGTTACCCGACATGTGGAGTCGAGTTCATGAGGGCACGGCGGATATCAACTACCCCGCGGTGTTCTATACGTCATGTTGGAAGTTGGATTTCTTTGACAAGGTCCAGAAACATTTTGGGCCTAACAACGTCGACGCCTTTGCATCAA